TAGTATTATCTTAATCTTGGCTGTTCAAGAGTCAAAGGCTGGGAGGAAGCTTGGGGTTGGGCCACATGGGGACAAGTTAATTTTATCCACTGACTTTAAAAATAAAATATTTATATAATTTAAAGGGAAAATAGGTGTCTTTTTTATAAATTGGAATAGCCGCATTTAGACAAAAGATAATAGTTAAATATGAAGGGCTGAATGGTCTAAAAAGCTGTGTAAGTTTCACAAAGCATAAAAAGTATCAAGATACTATATTGCTGAAATACTGAAACATAAAATAGTACATCACCTAGAATTACTCTTGGTATACAGTAAGAACTTAGTAAATATTTGAATGATTGAATGTTTACAAATATGGAATATAAGACATACTGATCTTCAAGTTAATAAACACTCTTATTTTCTTTCTGAAATATATAGTAAACAACTACTTTTAGCTCATATTTAATGAGTTTTCATTCACAAGTTTAGTATCAACATATGAATCCATTCCAAAAATACTCCCTAAGTTTTATTTTTTTAAAGAAGAAAATATTACCAAGTTTTTTTTTATCTGAAGTTCAATTGTCCCATTATAAAAGTATAAGTTCTATAGACATGGGTGATGAATATAAAATGTCATCAAATGCATGAGAGTTTGCATTAAATACTTTTAGAAGTCATTTGGTGTAGATATGTTTAATATTATTACCTAATAAACTTTAGTTGAGTCCTATTAATGTTCTTTGAAACATTAATTTGATGAAAAATAATTTTGAATATATTGTATGAGAAAATAAGATACTGAAATTTTGAATATATTGGGTGAATTTAATTTTTAAATACTTATTAAAATAGTATATATTATGTCTCTATTACCATATGTATCACATTAACCATTCCTAACTCCTGAAAAAGCCAAGTAAAATTCCATATTACTAACTGCCATAAATATTAGAGAAGAGAATATATGTAACCCAGTGATGCCATAAGTAAAGTGAACCTAGAAAATATTTTTAAACTCTTAGTTATATTTGTAATTAAAATTTTCATAGGTAAAGAGAATAATTAATTGATACTCTATGTACTAAAATGCCTCAAAACTGGCAGTCTGTTATAATTTTATATTAAAATAGTCTCATAAGCCTGTCTTTTTGTGCTTTAAATACTTTAAATCATATTGTTAAGCTTGTTATGCAAATAAAACAATCACCTTCTTTCTAAACTTTTTTTAAATTTTTTTGGTACCAGGGATTGAACTCATGACCTGGTGCTTACCACGCAGGCATTTATGCCACTGAGCAAAGTCCCTGGCTCTTTCTACATTTTTAATGAATCCAGAAAAACAATATTCATAAAATAAGGGGAAGAATCATACAACTTACTAACACATGAAAATAGTAGAAGAGTGACCTAATTTTCGTTTAAAATATAAATTCAGTTCAGCTACCAGTTTACTATTCTTTGATTTATACTATGTTCTATACGTTAATATTAATTACAACTGTTAATTCTTAATAGAATTATAAAGAGGTCAGCCTGGAGATATATAGTAGACTGCTTGTCTAGCATATATAAAGACCTGAGTTCAATCTCAAGCAATGCAAAAAAATACACACATATACATACATAAATATATATATGATGTTATTTCACCATGTCTCTATATGTACATATTGTGACTTAAAAACAAAACATTTATAAAAGTATTTTTCATTGTTTTCATGAAAACAATGCACATATGCAGATTTCATTTGCATGAAAACCCAAATACTTTGAAGTTATTTAACTATTTATTGAAGATACCCATATCATCAATAATGTGAGTAAATTATTTTGCATCCTTCATTATGCTTTTATGAAGGACAAATCTCATTAGACAATGATTTTTAAAGTATCAGAAAAGTATCTTACCTACCAAAGCTACAATGTGGTTGAAAAAATTAAACATCAAATTGAGTAATTGCTTGTGAAAATATAAAATTTTTATCCAATAAAAATAAATGAAGAATATATTTTTTCATGACATCACCAAGATATATTCAGGAATATGATTGTGTTACAGCAATGATAGTAGTTTGTCTTAATAAGAATATATTTTCTTACACTGGGGATTTAGCTCAGTGGCATAAGCACCTGCCTTGCAAGCAGGTGGTCATGAGTTTGATCCCCAGTACCAATAAAAAGTTAAAAAAAAAAAACAAAAGCCCCAGAAGAATATTTATATTTTCTGGATTTTAATTTAAAAAGCATTCTCAATATAGCCTCACAATTATTTGTAAGATTCAGTATTTTACATTAGGCGTACCAGTAATAAAGAGGACACCTTTATAGTCAACTCTTAATGTTTATTGTGCCAAACATTTGAGACATTTGTTTCTAAATAATTGAAATATGTACATTTATGCTTAAATGCTGTATGACTGAACTATAAGATGTAATTAATCATCTATCTATCTGTCTATCTGGGAGCCCTTGAATTTTAATAAATGCCACCATTAAAACCTGCTAGGATGAGCAGAAGTCTCATCCCTAAAACCACCATTGAGAGACACTGTTTCTCTACAAATGCTGAGCCAGTCATCCGAGATAGGAAGAGATAGGAAAGGCTATCTGACTTGTCATCCTATTCAGAAAGCTAGGAAAACTGCTTTACTAAATTGTTCAAGAAGCTGATACCCATCTGTAAAAAGCACTAACTACCAACATACTTCAAAAGTGGTATAAAAAGGAAAGCATGCTTGCTAATTAACACGAACAGCTGATCACAGTAAATTCTGTGAGAAGTTGTCGGCAGATTGAGAAAATGCTGACTCTCTCCTGACTAAGGTAGCTCCTAGAAAAGGTTGTTGCTTCCTTCTGTCAGGGATCCTTTAAGTAAATCGTCTTCCTCAAACACATCTGTAGTGTTGGCTTCTGTTGACACAACTCATCCTCAAGAAGTTACCGATGTTACCTACTTGGAGTATACGTGCTTCTTTCAATTTGTGTAATCAGGCTACCAACTATTTCCTATTTTCCACAGTCCCCATAGGTTACACCAGAATCTTGAGCGTTTACCCCAGTGAGACCTTGAGTAATTGGCTTCTTTAGGAGACTGAAGACAAAACAAAAAAGACAATTTATATATATATATATATATATATATATATATATATACACACACACATATATGATGGTTATATATATATAATTTTAATATTAATTTATATTTTGTATATAAATAATTCATACATAATATAAAATAAAATAAATATAACTCACATAATTTATACAATATATAATTCATATTATATAATATACATTACATAATTTATAATCTATAATTTATATTACATAATGTATTACATATTATATATAATATATAATTAACATAACATTATATTGTATAATATATATGTTATACATAATATATTAATTATATAATTATATATTAATATACAAATATATAAATTTTACATATATAATTTATATATTATGTGTTATATATTATCTATCATGTGATATAATTTTTATATATTATAGATATATAATATATAAATATATTCTATTTATATATGAATATGTAATCTATATATTATATATATTATATATAATATAATTTGACTGTTTGCCCAAGTGCAATCCTTTTCTATGGATCTTTTCCATAACTATCAAAGACTGTTCTTAGAACCTTTTCTTAAGGAATTATATTTTATTGGTTTGAAATACTATTCTTATAATCATTGTCCCATTATAATGCAAGACAATAGGTTCATGGCTATGTCTGGTTAAGATTTGAATCAAATCTCTTAACCTAAAAAAACCTGGATTTTGAACTCAATCCAAAAAAATTATGTATCTCTTCCAAGATTTCTTTAAATTTTTTCATAAACCTAATATATTCAAAATATAAAATTTAACCAAATAATCTCTGAAGGTAGAAATGTTAATAAAACATTTTACCCTTCATAAAAGCAAAAAAACTGATAAGTGTAGCATGCCATTTTAGTTGTGGGATTCACTGTTGGTAATATTAATCCTGCAAGTCAAATGAGACTGTTAATGAAGTAGCATTAAAACATGCACATTAGGGAGCTGGAGATTTAGCTTGGTGGCATAAGTGCCTGCCTTGCAAGCAGGCAGTCGTGAGTTCAATCCCTGGTACCGATAAAAAGGAAAAGGACAAAAAAAAAAAAAAAAATGCACATTTGAAGAATATCTTGCATTTATAAATACAAAATTACCAAGAATATATGAAGGACAATTTGTCTTTCAGGACAACAATCTGTTATTATTTCCCTTCAGTGAAAATATGGGACATGGTAGCAACCAATCATATTTTTTTATTTGAATTAAGTGGATGACTAGACACCAGAACCAGGTTACAAGAAGAGCATGATTTTCCTTTCCCACAACTTGTTATCAGTAGGAGGGACTTATTCTTTGAAAATAGTTTAAATCAAGCTATAGTGAGAAATGAGAAAGTTTCTATGGGTCAATGTGTACCAGAAATCATTCAGAATTCATTTTTATTGATGTATGTAATGTACAGATATATATCAGGCAAAGTGAAAGCTCAGTTTCTCATGAGGCAAATATTTTACAAAGCACACTCACTAGTCCTGCAAAATTTATGAAAAAGAAAGTTTACCATGGTGAATTATGTTTAACCATCTCTTTAAAATTAGTCTGCCTCATCTGTCCCAGTTTATTTAATTTTGTATCTTCAACAGTACCAAGCATGGGTAGTTAACAAATAGGTATTGAGTTGAAAAAGAAACTACTCTTATCCCAATTATGGACGACAACACATCAAGTTATTTATTATTGGAACACATGCAAGAGTAGGTGATTGTATCCCTGTAGTGTAGCAGGAGATTGTGAAATCACTTTTTCAAAGCCATTTGACAGTTCCTCTCAAGGTTTTATTCCATGTTTCCGATAGGTTCCAGAACAGATTCATAAGGTTGTTTTCCAGCTTGCTTCACATGAGTTTCTTTATGTGCTTTTCCACCACTACCTGTCTTTGCTGGATATTTAATTACAATAAATTCATGTTATTAAATATTTATGCAGTAATGTATATAATATATGATAATATAAATATATGCAGAATGATTGGCAACAGGCTGAGCACAGCTTTAACTAAATGTCTGTAAATGGGAATTATTCAAGCCATGCAGTGTAGTAGTCATGGATAAAAATCATCTGAATGTCATCTACCTCTAAAAGTCATCAAGAGTGCCCAGAAATATCCAGGGCTTATTTTGGTGCAAGTGATACCAAATAAGACTCAATTATTTTTAGATATTGCTTCAGAAAGCAGCTAAGGCAACAGTGGCACAGTTTTGAACCCAGATTTGGCAAATACACATGGTTCATAACATAGTTTATGGAACTCTGATTACACTGAGGCATTCAAGCCAGATATTCAGACTCTAGGTCACTCAGTTCTAATCTGAGAGGCAGATTTAGGTAAGTAAATTACGGAATTTAGGAGATAAAAACATTGTAAAAGCAAAACTGATGAGCTACAGTTCATTTTGGCCACTCTATTTGGTAGTTAAAAGACTTTCAAGAAAACAGTTTGTGATTTCAGTGCTATCATATGCAACCTTGAATAGTAAATTTTCTCCAGTGAATTATTCTTACATCTCTTATTAACATTCAAATTATGGTATGTAACTAAACTAATTATTGTGCTCTTTTATCAGAAACAACAGAAATAGAATCCCTTTAATAAATTCAGAAAAATATTATTTAATGCTTAACAAAATTGTCCCATTTGTACAATTACCAAAATCCAATTCATACCATCTATTAATTCCCTGTGTGTCTAGACTAAGAGAATCCAATTATCTGGAACATGACTGAGAGAAGTAAAACAATAAATGTGAACTCTCAGCCCCATCCTGCTCTTAGGGATTGAAGTTTTCCTTTCATAAACTCTCTAACTGTTTTGTAAAGGAAAGAAAAGGCCACTGGAATAAAAGAAAAAATTTAAAAAGCATAAAAATTGTGAAAGAGTACTAAGGGAATACAGAATGGAGGAGTTACAGTTATACATTATTAAAATGTAAAGGTTAGAGGCAGGAGGATCAGAAGTCTGAGGCCAGCCTGGGCTACACAGCAAGGTCAAGAGTGGCCTGCACAGGGAGACATGGTCTCAAAAAAAAACAAAAAACAAAACAAAAAAAAAAGTCAAAAATCCATTTTATTTGGAGTCCGTATCTGAATAATGCAATACGGTTTTTCTAAATACAGTATTCATATGAACTTGGAAAACTTTCCTAAAAAATAACAGAAATGAGAAATATTTTTTAGCAATTCACATAGCAGCAGTAGGCAGTTTTTGTATGGTGCTTCTATTTTTCACACAGGAAAAAAAATCCACGCTGTGACTCTGCCACTGCTTTCCACCTTTTCCTAAAAGTCTCAAAGACCTGCCCATCCACAGTCAGACCTAATTAGCCATAAGAGGAAAGAAGCAAGCCAGTGTGAAAACCAGAAGCAAAACTCAAATGGGTCCAGGAGTAGCAGCTGGGGCCTAACTTGGATTAATGCCTGCCTCCTCTGACCTGTCAAAAAGGAGAGCAGAACACCAATTTAACAGTTTTAGACTGAATATCCGCCCACACCAACATTTTAACTGAATAAAGTAAAATAAAAAATCTATCTTAACAGACAAAAAGTAAAACTTACATGAAGGTGCAACTGGCTCCTTTGAAACTTTTGGATATCTACACCCAGAGAACTTGGGAGGAAGATGGTTGAGAGTAATTTCTCCTATGTTTGGCTTCACATCAAACCACTCTATAAACACAAAAGTATTTCTTGAAACATTAGAACAGATATTGTAAAAATAAGACCATAAACTAATAAAATTATTTTTTCTGATATTCCTAACAACAAATAAATAGGTTAATAACCCACTCTCTACATTGTTCACAATCTTTGATGCACAACAGTTATTTTAAAAAGTTATTTTAAAGGTACTATTTTATGTTCCTATTAGTTTTGGCTACATTTTATTCAATAATTATATAGAAAGGTGACCAAATCATAAATTTAATTCAAAGTAGTGAATTTTTAAAATGAATATATATTTAAAAAGCATACATATGCATGCACACAGACACATATACACACAAATATATAAACAAAAACTCTGTTGTGTCTCCCAGAGTTGGTCCCAAAAGTAAAACATTATGTGCACTACTGCAGTCATGTTAGTTTTACCTATTTTTCTAAGTAAAATTATAAAATACCTATTGCATTTTTGCAAACACATTTAGACTATATATATATATATATATATATATATATATATATATATATATTTAAAATTGAGCCTATACACAGCAGTACTCAGACAATTTTTGCTTCTGACGGTGGTTTCCTCTTCTGCAGCTCATTCCTCACTGAGGTCTGAAGGGTTATCTAATGTAATCCTACTCATCTGTCATGCCATGTGAGGCCTAAATAAATTTCTGATTAGTAACATTCCTATAACTATAATTATCACTATTAATGACTCTGGCAACAGATGAAAAACTTTTGCAATCAGCTGTTTCAAGAATCAAGACTAGTAGCCAGGCATAGTCAAGTACACCTGTAATCTTAGCATTCTAGGAGGCCAAAGATAGGGGATTCCAAATTTAAACCCAGTCTGGGCAATTGAGGACTTTATGAGACCCTGTCTCAAAATTTAAAAATGCAGAAATGATCAATAGAAGAAGCAGTGCGAAGCTCCTGAGGTGTGGAGTTATCAAGACCAGATGCAGAATACCACTCAGAAATAGGAAGAATTGAGGGGTTGATGGGACTGTGGCTGAAGAGGAAGTGTATTCAAAGATGACAGCAGCCATATAGCTAGCTCTGCAAAGAAAAAACAGTAAGACTGATTTCTAGAGTTGTAATCTGACCAGATTTAAATGCTGGATGAAGAAAAGAATCTAAGTGAGATGTGTCAGTGACAGAAAGTGATCAGAGTCATAGTGTTCTTTTTTTTTTTTTTTTTTTGAAGTTTCAGGAAGTGAGAAAATAACATTCACTTCAGACTAAGATAAATAGGCCTATTAAAATTTCCAATGTAGTACTAAAATGAGTGTAAAGCTAAAATTTTCAAAATTTGTACCAGAAAACAGTATCTTTGGAAAAAAACAAAAACAGTTCAAAAGAAAAAAAGGTAGATATAACAAAAATAATAAAAACCTCAACATAATGATACAGTTGAATGCAAATATGTAATAGGAATAAGCAGATTGAAAACAGCAGATTTCTTGTGAATAAAATAACAAAGTTTTCTGCAACAAGATACTTGATACAACACATCCAGGATTTTATGAAGTATCAGTGCTTAATTATAAAGTAATAGTAATTAAGGCAGCATTAGTGTTGAAGTGTTTTCTGTATAGACAAAGTTGAATAGAGCACTCAGAAGGAGACTCGTGTATACACTGAAACTCGCAGCATGAGGCAGCATACAAATGAGCAGGGAAAGAATAGACTTTTCAAAAAGTGCTACAGAAACAATTGTTCTTCATATGAATTGCAAATGAATTAAGAGCTTAAGAATGAAAAGCTCCACTTCATCAACTTAAATGTAGAAAAATATACATCATAATATCACAGTGGAAACAGTCTGACTACAAACTGTATTCAATTATTTTAGCCATACCAAATTGTTACAGATCTCGTGAATTATGACAATAACCATTTTATCTCAGTACAGACATCTGTTCTCTATTTAAATTCTCTCAGGCTGAAATCAAGGCATTGGCAGGGCTGCATTTTTTCTGGAAGCTTGGAGAGTGAATCCCCTTGCAAGCTCACTCAGGTTGTTTGGCAGCAGGTAATTCCTTGCATTCGTGGGACTGAGATCCATGTTTATTTGCTGGTGTCAGCCAAGCATAGTTCTTTGATCCTAGAAGCCAGGCCACATGTTTTCCATAGCTGCCCCCGACAATGACAGGTTGATACCTACAGGTTATATTTTAAGTCTCTTTTTCTGCATCTTTCTAATTCCAGCTGGAATTTGCTTGTGAGGATTCATGTGATTAGACTGGGTCTATCTGAATAATCCAATTTATACTTCCTATCTTAAAGTCTGTATTTTGATTTTTCTCTACAAAGGCTCCTTTGCCATGTAATGTAACATATTTACAGGTTTCAGAGATTACACATAGACAATCTGAGAACCCATTTTGCTGACTACAAATTCAGTAAAATCAATCAAATTAGGAAATACATATGAATGAAGTGAAGAATAAGTAAACAGTATGCCTAGATAAAACCAGTATTTTAATCAAGAAATTATAAACCAATTCAACAAAGCACTCTTGGAAGAGAGTGTAGTGAGTTGACCACAGAACATGCAATAATATTGCATTTCTTAAACCATATAAAAATACTGTCTTCACTGTTATTAGTCTTTTTAAAATTATGTATACTCATTATATACTTGCATGTGTGATACATAATAAAATTCTAATGTTTAAAGATATACAAAGTTGTAATATAGATTCCACAAAAGGACTAACAACCTGAAATCTTTCATTATTTACAAATTACAGCTAGAGCCAAAAATCTGAACAAATTATGGGAAAAAAAAAGAAAAGTGATAGAAAAGTAAACAAAATATGGAGGACAAAACAAATTCTCTCTTTCAATTTAGGGCAGAGTACAATAGAAGGGAAAGTTAGTCCTTTTCTCTCTTTCCATAGAGCAGGCAGAAATTGCTTTTTTTGGAAAACAGACTTTGAAGGGGAGAGAAATCCTAATCATCTACAATCGGCCTCATTTTCTGAATGGTTCCAGAACATGGAAATGGTGTGTTTGCTAATTGCCAGGAGTCAAGCAAAATAAGATTTGAGACATGAGTGGTTTCCTAATTAAAGTGCTGGAAAACAAAAAGGGGATCATTCTTTGAGTCTCAGATGATGCCCAGTGATTTGGTTGCTTCGGTAATACTTTAAATGATACCTCTGGAAAGGTATTACAAGTTGCTCCAACCTACTCACCATTCACACACCAACAAGGTTACTGTGCAAAAGATAACACAGACCATTCTCTAAACAGCACGGAGAGTGAATCATGGCAATTCAGCTTTTTCCCCCAAAGGATTTATACTCTGAAACATGCCCATCCTCTTAAGTTCCTTCCGTTGATATATGGACTTCTATTTACAAAAGTTTACTTACATTGACAATTTTTTTTCTAAAAAGTCTTTGTAACCTATGTTAACTTGTACTTTTATCAAAAAGAATGAATTAAAATCCACTCCAATGCTAATACACCATTCTACTGCTAGCATAAGAGAAGCCTCTTCCCATTTAGCCAGAGTAAAAGGCAAAAATGAGCCTATAGTATGCTTTTCTTTCATCTGTGCTTGATTTGCCTCATTGAGTTTGGAAGAACTCAGCTTTTTCTAAGGAAAACTTACCTGGATTCAATTTTCTGCTTAATTTTCTTTGTAGCATTTGCAAAAGTAACAGGAACTCTACTTTAAGTTCATTGCTGAGCATGTTGGGATTGCTCATTAATTCCGTTAACCTAATGTTACTTTTAATAGATGTTGAAGCTGTAGACCTGCGAACCAGAGGTAAATGCATCTGGTAACTGTAGTCTGTGAAATTTGGCATGTCCTCCTGGATACTTTTAGTTCTGTAAATAAGGAACATTGTTGACAAGGCACATTTTTGGTAATGAGATTTGTATTATCAAAATTTCAGATTGTATTACTAAAAAATTTGAAATAACTTACTCTCGATGTGTTAACAAAGCATACAGTTCTTCTATCAATATTTCGGGTACTCCAGGTTTACAATGAATTGTTCCATGGATTAGTTCTTTAGGTAATTTAAGTTTCTTTTTTGCCAGAAACTTTAATAGAAAGAAAATATATTCATCATAAAAAAAATTCCACAAAAATCAACTACCATGATTAACCCTCCTTGTATCTCAACTAATTTTCTGATGTTTAACATGCTAATTATCAAGATAATATATTATTTAACAAGAGAAACCATTATGTCTCACATTAACTGAAGTGAGTTACGCCCAGTTTCATAGACGATTCATGACATAAACAAGAAACCTGGTGAAACGTAAATACCATGGGAAGAAGTTGTCCACTCCACAGCACTGTATTCATATAGTCACACATACACGTAAATATCTGTGACATTCAGAAAAGACCTTTTAAAATAAATTTAACAGTAAATGGTGCTAATTTACCTTCTCTAATTGTGCCCAGTTATCCAACTTGACTTTTAAAGAAGTTCCATTTCTGAAGTATGATAATTTAAGGTCCCAGGGGTAATATGTACAGAGTATTTCTGCAATCAGGAAGCCATTTGAAAAATCTCTGATCCATAGCAACAAGGAAATAAAATATAGTTAATAATACAGTTTATAATTGATGAAAACCAATCTAATACTCCATGCTGATCAAAAATACATCGTAGAATTTGTTTTATGGGGTCATTGCTCTGAAAAAAGGCTACTATATAATTACACTTTGCTGGGATTATATACGCAACAAAGGCTCTGGTGTTCTTTTAAGGAACCCAAATCTGAATTTGAACAAGATCCACAGGTTAGCCTCAAACCCACTGTAAGTTTCAGAAGAATTTTCCTATGATACATCTACTACCAATATTAATAAACCCTTCCTGCAAAAGATGGGTGGCCTTAATTTTTGCAAAATTTAGTTACTTCTCATAGCAAATATTAACTGTCTGTTATGTTCAGGGGGGACCATCTTTAAATAGCAAGTTTTTTTAAATCCCTGATAGTCCTGAAACTAGATGTCTATAGATGGTAGAACAATCCTTAGTAGTATTAAAACTCAGTCTCCCTGAAGAGACTTGACTACTAGTTTTGCAATATAAAAGCTTCTATATTAGCTTAAAGCTACAATTCAATGATTTGTTAAATGAAATTCATGTTTCATCGGTTTTGTTTGTTTTTTGAGACAGGGTCTCGCTATGCTGCTCAGGCTGGCTTTCAGCTCACTTTTAGCACAGGCTGGTCTCAAATTTGTAATGATCAACCTGCCTCGGCTCCTGAGTGCTGAGATTAGAGGCGTGCACTCCTATGCCTGGCCTTCGTATTTTTCTTAAGCCTTAAAGCCTTCCCCAAACTCCCTTAACAGTCTTCTTGTGTGACAAGAGCGCGAGGTCAGAGCCTGGGCCGAACACGCACCCCAAGGGGCGGAAGTTTCTGTCCCAGCCTAGTGGGTCTGGGCCGGATGTCTCCGGCACCTGCTGATGTTCCTGGGGAAAAAGCTGAGGTTCATGCCCTGCAGCCAGCGGAGAACGGACCGCGACAGGCGGGAGTTCTTCGGGATCTGCGGATAGCCTGAACACTTGTTGTGCTTCCCGTGGGTCCGTGCAGGTGGCTGTGCTGAAAGTGCGGAGGACTCGGTTGGGGCTGCCGCCGGCGGCTCTAAGTACTCCTTGACCTGGCCGGCGGCAGCCATGGCGCAGTTCCTATGGCAACGGCGGCGGGGGCGGGGTCTTGGGGCGGGGGGCGGGACCTCGAGAGGATAGAAGTTGCCTAGCGTCTGCAGCGAACCTCCTGGCGCCCGGGGTCTTCCACTGAGCGGGGAGGGGAGGGGCCGCCGTGAGTCCCTGACCTACTGGTTTTGCACTGCCTGGTAGCCTAATCCTTAGCCTTCGGTATCAGTTTTAGTTAGCTTCACTAGCAACCCGTTTAGAGTTTTACTTTTTAATTTCCTGTTTCATAAATTTTGTATTTCAAGTAATGTGGTTTTTGTCCGGTCAGCAGTCTAAACTCTCTCAAGCATTTTTAGGAAAGGAATGAAAATCCGCAGAGGGCAGAAGAGCATTTGAGAACTGGCGGCCATAAGCGATGAGGTAGATGAGAGGAACTCATAATGTAACACACCTGTTTCCTTGATTATTACGTCAAGCAGTCTGAAGCATGATGAAATTGAAAACAATTTGTAGGTTAGATTTTCCATTTCACAAGCATGCCCTATTATGCCTGATTCACTCATTCATTCATTTAACAAATATTTGAGTACCTACTATGTGCCAAGAATTCATCCAACTCTTTAGTATTTATCAGTCAACAACACAGAAGAAAGATTGATTGCAGAGTAGGCAGAGAACTTATAAATTAAATATTTACATAAGTAAAATTATTAAAATCCTTTAAACGGGTTTGCAGCAAAAATGCATGTAAATGTGGGCTGTGGTACAGGATGAAACAGGAAAGTCTTGTATAATATTTTATTGAATATTTATATACATGTTTTTTAATAAAGTAAAAACTGTGATTTTGTAAATGGCTAAAAAAAGAAAAAGAAAAAAACGAAAAACAAAAACACTGCAAAATGCTGCCTCCAGCACAGCTAGGTTCCCTGGGGGAAGAGCTGCCAGAGGGTGAAGAAATAAAGATGACACAATATATAGAAAGTTGAGGTCAGGTGGAACGAACTCTCCAGATGGCAGGAAAAGTGTGTTCAACCACCACATTACTTTTGTTTATACATTTGGCAGGAGTTATGGTTGACACCTTATGTCAACTTGAGAAGGTTAGAAGTTTAACAGAGAGATAAACATCCCCATCATGTGCAAGAGGAGAGCAAGGGTATTCTGGGAGTGTTACACTGGCCCGGAGAGTGGGTGGCCTGTGTTTTTTTTGGCTGCTGCCTTGAAGTGTTGCCCCGGTGCCATGCCACCCTGCCTTGGAAACAGATGATTATGGACTAAAACCTCTATAAATTGTAAGCTAAATAAACCTTTCCTTCCTTCATTGAGGGTGCCTCCTATTTTGTCTCAGTAGTGAGAAAAAAATAGCCAAGACAGCTGGTTGATGTCACACGACATCCTTTACTTACCTAGCACACCTCTCACCCCTCCTCCCCACTCAGGGCTGCAATCAGAGAAATCCTTGGGCACTCTGAGCTCTCAGCTCCACAGGTACACTTAATCACTAGTTTAGCCACTCCGACATCCCCCCTTTTCTGTTTTTGTAGTTGCAGTCAATGGGTGTTTAATTGAAGTTTGAGCAACTGTGTTTAGAGGACTCTGCAAAAATATTTTTTCCTTATGGTATATTTTTCTGCTGGATGTTTAAGATGAACTCAAAGTGAGACTTGTATTAATTAAAATTAATCTTTTGTTATCTATCAAGGTAAGTCTCCTCAGGAATCACCTTGGACCGTGCACATCACTTCTTGGTATTTCTGTCAGCCATCTGGATGAGTCACTGAGTCACTGCCGTTGCTTGACCAAGTTGTTTTCTGTGAAAACATTGGAAGATTTTTCTCTACAGGTTACTCTCCTTAGGCACGCTATACGCTTAATCTTCTTCCTCAGTGGTTCAATAAGCTCCTTGGTCAGAAGACCAGGGACTCACTGAGTTATAGGGTATCACAGCAAAAGTTTCTTTATGTCCTGGATCCTCATTGACCTTGAAGGGTTGGGGCCAAGATATTGGCTGTCCCTTAGCCTATCTTCCTAGTTTTTTGGTCTCTAACCCTCAACTGTTAAACCTCCAGAAGAGAAGGTTAATGACATTACATTATATTAGGTGCAGCGAGTTTAATATGACACAAAACACAACCAGTATTTCCTACCAATCATGGATGTTTTAGCATTTGAATCCCTGTAGAATGCTAACAGACAACAGTTACATATTTTACCCAGAAAATTAGAAATCAAATGCCATATATAATAATGTAACTTGACAATCCTGATATTTTGTAACACACTTAAGTTTTCATTTTGACATAGTATAGCCTTTTTAACCAATCTGTTGTCCTTTAATGAGATGTACATCACATAAGATGTCTGAATCTGAAAGAAAAGCCTATCACCTTAAACACTCCTAGTTCCACACTTCAGAAGATCTGCATATCTGCATATCTGAAGGCATTAAGTATCCTGCAATAACAATCCTCATAGCCATATGAAAACCTTTGTACTAGGCATCTTTAACTCAAAAACCTTGTTCTCTAGAAAACTTAATCTTTTGACCTGTGAGCAATGTAAATGTATCACAATAATATATTTAATAATATTTATTGGGATGTCTCCCATTAGGCTTTGGAGATCATTGGGGCTTCCTATTAAAGAACAATGGAATAACTTTTCACAGGCAACTGCCCCTTATTTATCAAAGGGAACCTAAAGAGATAATTCTGCAAGCATGAAAGGTCCCTTTAGTTACCTTAATAAATTTTTGATGACCTCTGAAAACCATTTTGGTATCAAATTAATCAGGTGGCCAGCCAGGTGAAAGCATGCTTTTAAATCTATAACCCAAATTAAATTTTGAACAAATGATCTGAAAATGCAAAAGAAAAAGAAGAGAAAAATAGTTGTGCTCAAAAAAAAATGCTGTTCACATATATGACAGACAAAGAAACAAGTACACAGGTTAACAGATTAGACAGACAAACATTTTACATAATCAGAGTGCACTCAAATACATTTTTCATCAAATTGAATTATAGGAACTCTTTTATAATTTTAGGAACTTATAACTCTTAAATAGTCAGATTTTTTTTTGTAGGTCAGTTAGTCAAGATCTCGTAGAAGAAGAATTTTTAAGGGGCATAATCTTTTATCTATAATTAATGTATTTTTGTGTTTATTTTGCCTTAAGAATACAAATAACTTTTGTGTCCCTTTCTTTTGTGTAGCTTTCATCTCAATTATCTCTATGTGCTCTATCAACTACTCAGACCTTTTATTCTTATTTTTGGTTTACATCTTCTGGCATCCTGGATCACTTTCTTTAATTGGCCCAAGCCAGGTCTAGTCCCATCCTTATCTGTCAGTTGTGGCACAGCCTCTTAGGCATTACTGTCATAAGACTGAGCATCAATTTCTTGAAAAGTAGACTCAACTTCTCTGGATCTGAGTCCATGATACAACTGGACAGCATGCTCTGAACCCAAAGAGGACATTCAGCATTCCCTAGAAAAACACAAGCATAACCCTCTATCCAAGTGAGTAGTGGTCTGGGTCTCTTCTATTGTCCAGTATGAAGATCTTTCCAAAAGACCCTTTCTAGCTTTTCTTTCCTTTACCTGATTGAATTATCTTTCTGCTGCTGCAGCTCCATCCTTATTAGGATTTAAAAAGTTAACAGTATAGAATGCCAAGTGAAGTCTATTATCAGGTGTGAATTTTGTAGAGAAGAATTCCCTCTTTTGTTTTTGTGATTGAATTTTGAGCATATGGTGAGAATGTTCAACAATTCTTTGACCTTGAAAATTATAAAGAATTCCTGCAGTAAGGGAAATATGAGAAGTTTTACAAAATGTTTGGAAAGCAGCACTTGTACAGGCTAAGCCATTGTCAGTCTTAACCCCTGGTCAACCAAGGGTATTAAAGGAATACAAGCAATGACATGTTTAGCTACCTCACCAGTGTGGGTGGAAGCAAAAATAAATTCCAAGGAAGTGCTCACTAAAATGTGAACCTACTATAGATAGCCAAATTCAGAAATGTGAGTGATATTCATTTGCCAGAGATGATTGGGGTATAATCCTCGAGGATGAACCCCCGCACAGAGTGAGGAAAAATGTATCACGCATGAGAAACATTATTCAACAATTTGTCAAGCCTGTTCCCAGGTAAAATGGAACTGTTTGCGTAAGGCAGGAGTGTTTTGATGAAAGGTGGAATGGGAGACAGAAGCCTGTGCAATGGCATCATCTGAAGGAGTAACAGTGACAGTAGCTGGCAATCTGCTGATTGTGGTGTTGTCCTCAGTAAGAGGTCCTGGCAACTGGGAATGAGAATGTAAATGACCAGTAAAACAAGGGACATGACATGACCAAATAGCAAATTGGAGAGTATGAAACAAATGAAAAGGATCTTCCTGGTTAGTTTGAATGGATGTGGAAACTATCCCGAGCCGTGACTAGCTCTTCACTACCCCCTAGCCACTATAATTTTAGATCAATCTAAATAAATCTCAGTAACAGTAACTATAATTCACCTGTTGAATAGCTGCATGTGGCTAGTGATTATTGGATCTCACAGATGTGACACTTTTCCATGTAGAAGTTCTACTTGACTGCTGTACACTAGAATCTTCACAAGAATTAGAGATATAGATATCAGTGAAAATATCACCTATGCTGAAAATCTTACCATGGCAAAAATGTATTAGAAAAAGGGTGAAGCAAATAATATAGAAGCCTAGAAATACTCAGAAGAGCTGAACTTTGAATATGATTTTATAAGGCAGTATTTTGAATTGGTTAGGATTTGGGCTTTGGAGGACAGGCTATATCTGTGACTTCAGATAAGTTACTTGACTATTTTTATTTGTAAAATATGGAAATAAATATTATAAACCTTACTGGGTTGTTATGAGGATTAAATAAATGAGTTCTCTATGTAAAAGGCATAGAGCAACATGCTGAACAGTGTGCTTATTGAGTATAAAATGTTTCTAAAATTAGTAAGATGACCATAAGAAGGGTGTAGATAATTCCACACAGAAGGA